ACAATACTATATTTATAATATCATATAAAATTTTAAATTTATAATACTACATAAAAACAAATTATATTGATTTCTACAACCAAATGCATAGTGAAATTCAGTGGAAACAGAGTGTATTGATTTCTGGGCTTCCTCCTTGCTGTGTAATGCACAATTAATGGTAACAGAAGTTAGTAGAAAAGGTCGCAATAAAAATTTGCTTATGGAAAGATCTAAGCCGGCTCCAATGGAAGACCAAGACTCCGTGCCTTAATTATCTTGACTTGCAAGTTTCTTCTCGAAAGAAATCTACAGGAACCTGGACTTGCTTTCACCATCATAGTGGGTCGAAGCCGCGTATTGTTTCCCATGACCCCATCTTTAATTTTCAAGGGTTCAGATTCAATTTTCTCTGCAATAATCCTAAAACAGCCGACAAAACAGAGCTTCCATTATCCCGTGCGAACCCCGGTACCCATCTTCATTAGTTCGTGCGTTGGCATCCTACAAAGACTTGCTCTTATGCAACGTGTAAATTGATGGTCGGAAGTCAGAGTCGGAGTCGGAGTATAAATTGCACATGCAATGCTTTTACGTACCATGGAATGCGTTTTGCTGCCTCCAAATTACATCCAAATATTGGACATTCATGTTCAAAAAGATTTATCAACGTGGGATTGACCATCAATGATGACAAAAACACATACAAAGTAATTTGTTTCGATTGCTTAAAGGAATGGTTCTCCTGTTGAGAAGAATACAGTGTCACCTGAGTATAGCAATAACAAAAATAACACTAAAATCTTTTTCGATTTATTTGAAATTACAAGGAGTAAGTTAAATCAAACTCAAGTAAAACATGGCAGCAACTAAAAGAGCAAATAATTATAAAGATGGCTAAGGCAAAAACAAAGACACAAGAATTTTACATGGAAAACCTTCAAAAGAAAAAAAAAAAAAACCATGGAATATTTAGTCTACTAAAAAAACCTCGATTATAATAAAAAAGAATACATAATATCTTCTTCTACAAAGACATAAAAACCACACCAAATAGAAGGAATAATAAGCCATAAAGTAAAAAAGAAAATGGGACCACAAGAAAGAAAAATCACTAAAAACAAATTATTGTTCTAGCTATGAAATTAGAAAGGTTAAATCCCTATTTTTGTTGTTTTACTTTTGTAAAATGTCTCTTTTTAGTCATTTTATTTAAAAAATCTCATTTTTTATTTCTAAAGTTTGAAATCCGATTTATTTTTAGTTTATCTGTTAAGTTTTGTATATATAGCACATTAAATAATAAAAATTTCAAAGTAAAAAAATCAAAAAGAGACTAAAAAGGGCTAAAAATAACTACAATTTGATTCCTCTATTTAAAAAAAAAAAACTCATGTTTCATCCATCTTTTTTGAAAATTTTGTCATATAACATCAAAATTTAAAAGATAGACTAAAAGTGGATAAGATTTCAAACCTTAAGAACCAAAATTGAGTTTTTTTAAATAGAGAAATTAAAAAAAGATTTTTTTACCAAAATAAAAGAATTAAATTGAGGTTTTAACCAATCAAAAACTACAAAGCTCTAAACAAAAAAACTAACCATTCAAATATTTTTTTTTATCAGCAACTGACCATTTAGATTGTAAATCGATATCTTATGAATACTCAAACCAAATTTCAACTCAATACAACAGATTAGAGAATGATGACAAAACTACACACAGTATTAAAACTGCATAAATTTCTCCTCTTTTCTTCCCCTTTTCCGCCGGCTCCACACTCTCGCGTGCTGATTTACCCTCAGCCCAAATCAGACCTCTTTCTTTGTGTGAAAGGACTGCAAAAACATGGATTGAAGTGGGCTTAATACGTCGGCTTAGTCAACCTAAGATTGGGCCATTTCTCTGCATCGGAGGGATAGGCTGGACCCAACATCTCCTGGGGTGTGGATTTTTTTTCTTTCGAAACTGGCAAGTGGAACCGTCTCCGAGTGAGCCCAGAAGTCTACCCCTGGGTTGGTAGGTTACATTTTTACCAGTGGTTGCTTGCAACGCTATGCTACTCTGGGTATATAAGATCATGAGAAAGTTCAATGCATAGTGCTCATAATCCTGACAATCCGAGACATCTTTCTTTGATCACTCTGGCCGCAGGTAGTTTGTCTTCCTTGGATGATGACAAGGAGATATGGGATCTACGAATGAGAAGTGGGAGGTACATAAGCCATCTACGAGTATTTCAGTTGGAAACTAGAAGTCTAGAACTGGGGATATACACTCGCTACCTGATGTTTTCATTTTGGATTTGGGAAATAGAGGAATATGAGAAAAGCCTGTGGATCGCATGAAATACAAGATCAAACTGAAAGAAATGTCTGGTGAGGAAGATTGGCTGGCTGGTATGGCATCGAGCATTGGAGTGCGACTGCAGGCTTTGCATCCAGAAGACGGAGATATCGTGTATTTGGACTGGAAGCACAAATTTATCTCATGCAATGTTGGAGAAAGGAAGCCGAGGATTGAGTGGTGAGTTTCCATTTGCTCCTAGTTTAGGCTCTTGCAATGCATTTCCAGTTGTGCTTCCCCTTTGGCCTACGCCAATTCCCAAAACAATTCACAAAAAAAATCATCAAGAAGAGAAAGAAAAGGGGAAGGCTCCTCATATAACTAGGCCGAGGGCTGAGGACAAAGTGAATTTATTGTGCTTTAGTTTGCTTTTGATTTTTTTTTTTCTTTTAATGAAATGCTTGCCTTTGATTTTTGCTTCATTCCTAAAATATAACTACTACTGTTCTTATCCTTACTAACTAATAGTTGAAGCCAAAGCCATACCCAATAGGGGATTCATTAAATACTAGCAAGTCGCAACCTTCTAAGCCGTCAAAGTAGGGAGCAAAACTCTTCGTCAACCAAATTACAACTCCGTTGCTGCTTATTTTCTTTCATCTTTTTTTTCATAAGCATTGGCAATTATTCATGGGGGAATAACAGGGTTACTTCAACAATCAACACATTACATTTGCTCGCATTCTAACAACTGTGCCATTAAACTCGAATCACTATAAGAACAACAAAGTAGGTAGTACAACTCAAACAGGACACAATCCAAAACAATTGCCCTTTGTACAACTAGAATCACCATGCCATTAAAATGACCATATTCGAACACAATCCAAGACAATTGCCCTGTCCAAAAGCTCTGCATCCCCTGTTCTTTTACGGCTTTATTGAGTTGCTCTTTGGTTATCTATCCGTTTGTCGTTGCCACTGGACCTTTCTTTGTAATTTTCTCTCATGCTCTTAGTATAGGAGATACGCAGAAGAATGATGCGGAGACAATTGAGAACCTGGTTATGGAAACAATCTCCATTGATATTGAATTTCCACTGATGATTTCCCTCTGTACATACTTTCCTTGTTCACTGTACTTACCTTTACGGTAGTGATAGTCTAGGCACAATCAATTTTACATATCTGTATATATATGATTTACAGTGCATAATGAGATTATCACCTTCCACACAGTTTTCCCTCACTGATTGTACACTTAGCTATATCAATCTCTTTCGCACAATGAAAAAGTACATTGCATAGGCTGTCCACAAGCATGGCCGCATGCCCCACTCTTTGTCCTTTGATTTCTACTCTGGAGCTGTACATTGTCCAATATCTCACTCACAAAACTATCATAAGTGCTATATCAAGGGAAAATTATCGTGAAAGCTGACAGCATATCATAAATAAGAACTAGAAATCAAGAACTTTCAAGCAAGACCTAAATGAATGAGCTTAATCAATGGGGCATATACACAGCACATATTGACAAATTGTGGCCTTTCACATTAATGGCTTTCTGGGATAAAACCTCTTAGCGTAAAACTCATCTGGTTTACCCCACACAGCACGGTCCCTCCCTTTCTCGCATCGTATGGACTCACAAGAATTCTAGTGCCTTTAGGAATGTCATTGCCAGGAATTTAACAATCTTCCCAGAAAAGCAAGGCACCAGCATTGGTGCCAAAGGATGCAAACGCATGGTCTCTTTGGCAATTGAATCAAATCAATGTAGGGTAGGTTAATGATGTCCTTTTCTTCAACCCATCTGTTTTTGCCAATAACCCTATGTAGCTCCTCAGTGGCCTTCTCAAGAAGCTCAGGTCTTTTCAAGAGCTCAGAGATGTTGACTGTTCTACAGTAATTGCCAAGCTCTCAATTCCACCGGCTATTAGGTCATGCTGCAGTGCAATATCAAAGATCGTATATCAACAAAACTAACAAAAATGCTAACACCGCTGCCCTGCTTGCTTGTGAAGGTGAAAAAGGTGGACCAACCACTGCTTTTAGAGCTCCTACAAGGTTAAGAAAAAAGGAAGAACAGATATGTTCTTGTAGGTTCAGGATCTCTGTCATTGAGTGGACGCGTGAACTATGGAAAATAGTATGCTGTTGCCTGTTGATATAAATATCTGGTCTCAAGACTCTTGAATTCAGGATCTCTGTAATTGAGTGGACACGTGAATTATGAAAAATAGTATGCTGTTGCCTGTTGATATAAATATCTGGTCTCAAAACTCTTGAATTCACCTGAAAACAAATGCCGTGGTAAGTATTTTTAAAGTATTTAGAAATCAAATTGAGTTTTGATTAATTTAAATTCAAGTTATATTAGACTAAAAAAGCTCTTTTAAAATTTATTTTTTTATTTATGAGAGTTAAATTTGAGATTTTATTTAAAAAATATTAAATTTTTTTAATTTGAATCAATAAGTCGTTAATAAGATCACAATAAGTTAGCATTCAAATCTTGAGACTAATATCTAAAAAAAATTAATTTAATTTCTTTAAATAGACAAATTGATATAAAACATGTCTTTAAAATTGTTAAAAAAAATTCTTAAATTATACAATAGCGGATGGGTGAGAACACCATAAATAATATTATCTTATTTTTTTTACAACAAATTCGTAAAAAATTGAATTCGGATAGTTACTTTAATAAATTAATTTTGAAATATATGAAAGTGGATAAGAAGCACTGACTTTAATATTATCTTCCCTTTGAAAGAAATTGTTGCAAC